TGACCATAAACATATTCATATCAGTTCATACTAGCTTTTGCTACCAATGATTTTTGGCACCAAACTTAGGGGAAAAAATATTAACTCTTTTCCAAATATTTTTAAATTTAAGAATTGTGAATACTTGGGGATCTAAAAAACACCCAAAAAGTTTTAGAAAGGTCTTCCCAACAAGCAGTTAAAGAGCCGTTGTTATCAGTGAGAACTGCTGATATGGACACTGCGGGCCTGTGTCCACGTCATTAGGGATGAAATGAGACATTCACATGGACTACCAAGTCCTGTGGAGGAAATGGGCGACTTGGCTTTTCTCTCAAGAGGAGCAAAAGCTGCAACCCTTGCCAGGACCAGCCTTTATTGGGTTTCTCAGCACATTCCATGATGGTCTTCATTTACTATGCACAGGTTTGCTTTAGGTGGTTACCTTTTACAGAAAACAAAGGAGCCACATCCCAGAAGAGGGATATTTGTGAATGAAAAGGGCAAAAGTGGTTGAACTGGTTACACTTGTCCTAGGAAGGTTTAGTATGGTTTTTAGGAAGTTACTTTGCAGTAAATGTTTGCCACAAATGTGGGTGAGGGAGGTTAGGGTGCGGTGTAGGATTCTACTCTGCACAGGTTGACTTCAGGCACAGTCTCCATTTTATGTAACACTCTCTTCTTTCCTGTTTCCTAGTTTATCACTACTGGCCTTTCTTAGCTGCTGTAGAAGCCATTTTTCCTCTCTAAGCACACCAATGCCTGGGCTCAAAATCATGAATATTGACAAATATTAGCATTTTGTATCATTCCCTAAAGTCCACAGATGTTACCGAACGAGAGGTCCGAGGGAGGGGCAATACTATATTTGGCCCACCTAGGAATGCCAAAAACTGCTACACAACAGGGGCCCCTCCCAAGAACAGAATACTAATATCTACTGGGCTCTTCTGTCTGCCGCCAATTGGAAAGATATCTCTCAATGCCAGAGATTTGTGAAAAGGAAACGAAATGTTATTTAATGCTATTCAGGCCTAATGCCTCCACTAAAATATCAAAGTCCTTTAGGTTGTACACCTACACCCACACAGCGCTCCCTTCTCCCACTGTCCCAACTCCGGGTACCGTAAATCAGGAAAAGAGCACATATCTGTGTTGCAGGCCGCTGGCACCGTCAGCTGTGTCACCGTGCAGGCAGGATCCCTCTCTAGTTAATCCAAAGTACTGTGGTACCCTCTCATGGTCCACTGGCAAGAGTTCTTTGTACCCAGTTCCAGTCAAAGTCTCTCCTGCTTTTCCAGGCCACGTGGCCAAAGGGGCACCCCAAAGCCACGTGGGCCTCTTCTACCAAAGCTGCAGGGGTCCGCACTCCACCAAAAGCATGTGGCTTTCTTCTTCACCTGGCTGCAAGGATCTCCATTCTGGCAAAGCTGCGTGATTTTTCCTTTTCACCTGGGAAAGAGGGGGTCCACACCCTGCCAAAACCATGTGGCTCCCTCTTTCACCTCACCAAGAGGGGGTCTTCACTCTGCTGAAACCGCGTGGCTCTCTCTCTCAATGGCTGCTGTGTCTGGCTTTTAAATCCTCGCACCCATCTTCCTCTGTACCCCTATTTCCGACTCCTCCCAAGATCAGTTACACCTGCCAGTATTTCTGTATTAATACAAGTTTACTGGGCTGCCATCGTTAGTCTGGGCAGTAATCATCCTATGTCCTTGAGCCAATCTTCTCCAAGCCCCTACGCAGGCACTATAACTTGGGGGACCTGCCCCCAGTTACATCTTGGGGAAGTGACTTCATCCCCCTAGCTCCAAGCCTGGCTACAGCCATTTAACATATCCAAGTGACCACCAAAGGCTATAGATATGTTAAATGACCATGCCATGGATTAGCTGCAAGGCCGTAGTTGTACAAAACAGCCCTGCATGTTCCTGCTCCATGTGTCCCTTCCCCACAACTCACACCTGTGGTGGGGGGAAGGGGTGAGGACATCTTATATGTCTCTCCATTATTCCTACACACTTTGAATTCTGGAGACCATTCCAAATCTTTTTTTGGGGGGGCCTCACCCTGGCTGCACCCTATATCACAGAGACTACCATGTCACCTAATATAGCACTTCTAATATGCTCAATTTTTTAACAGTTCTCTCTGCCCCATTCCCAGGCCCCCAGTTCTCACCTAAATCACATATCTAAAATCCTTCTCTACATTTACAAATTCTCTGAATTCTCTCTTCTTTAGGCTGTTTTATTCTGGGCTTACTAAGGGACTATGTGACTAAGGAAAAGTCTTCTATCCTTAATCCTTGCTCTGGAACAAGATATCTAGAAACTAGATGCATCTTGGAACCTTGAACTTTTGCATGGTAGTTATATTTTATCCTATTAAAGGAGAGAGAGCCAAATAAATATTCATTTGGTCATAATAGGAAAGTGGAAAATAGAAACTTGGAATACTAAATTGTGGTATAATGGAATACAAAGACTTCCCAGAAAGTGCATGAGGCCAAGAGACATTCTGACTACAATGCTGGCCTTGAACTCTGAAAAACTGAATTTTTTTTTCAATTGCACTATTTTCTGGATGATCCCATGTTGCTTAATTTCCACTCAAAATACTGGTTTCTGCAATGCATTTTTCTGTGTGGGACAAAACACCAGGGAGATATCAAAAGTACCTGAATATACTGTGTAAAAGGGAAATCACAAAAACAACATTAACTAGAAATAATATGTGGATACGGTCACTAATAATTAGGAAAAAAGGGGCTTGGATGTTGGGCAAAATAGAGTCACAAAGTTTTCATTGCTTAAGTCAAACAGACAGCTGAACCAAACAGACTTTGGGAGTAGTAGTCTTGGTCAGCCAGGAGTAAGGAGTTGATGGAGGGGTGGAGACAAGTGTCTTAAATCTGAATACCTGCTTGGCTCATTGAACTCAGACATGAATTATTGAGAGCAGAACAATTATCAGAATAATTATCAGAGTTTCATAACTCTGTGTGTGGAAGAAAAATTAGGAGCATTCTCCCAACACCGTATCGACTCTATACAGGAGTTAATTCTTTACAAAACAAAAGTTATCCAAAGACTTTCTATTAAAAAGCATCACAGTCACTGTGCAATTCTACAGTGACAAGAACACCAAAGGTCTGAAGAGCCTAACAGCTCAATAGAAAACGAACAACCCAAGAAACAAGGGCAAATAGATTTTAAAAAGTGTAGTCCTGAGGCAGAGTAGACACTTGGAGGGACTATGGAACCAAAGTCAAAACTATTAAAATATCTAGGCAGTGGGAAAAATAATAAGGCAATATATGATTTTATATGTTGATTGCACTCATGGCAGATACGTTACCGAACAAGAGGTCCAGGAGAGGGGGCAGTATTTGGCCCACCTAGGGATGCCAAATATTGCTGCAGAATAGAGGCCCCTCCCAAGGGCAGAATACTAAAATCTATTGGGCTCTTCTGTCCGCCGCCAATTGGAAAGATCTCTCAATGCCAGAGATTTGTGAAAAGGAAATGAAATGTTTATTTAATGCTATTCAGACCTAATGCCTCCACTAAAATATCAAAGTCTTTTAGGGTATACACCTACACCCACACAGCACTCCCTTCTCCCACTGTCCCAACTCCAGGTACCGTAAATCAGGAAAAGAGCACACATCTGTGTTTCAGGCCGCTGGTATTGTCAGCTGTGTCAGGCAGGATCTCTAGTTAATCCAAAGTACTGTGGTACCCTCTCATGGTCCACTGGCAAGAGTTCTTTGTACCCAGTTCCAAAGTCTCTCCTGCTTTCCAGGCCACTCAGCCAAAGGGGGCACCCCAAAGCTGTGTGGGCCTCTTCTACCAAAGCTGCAGGGATCCGCACTCCACCAAAAGTGCGTGTCTTTCTTCTTCACCTGGCTGCAGGGATCTCCATTCTGGCAAAGCTGCGTGGTTTTTCCTTTCACCTGGGCAGTTATCCCCTCATGTCCCGGAGCCAGTCTTTTCCAAGCTCCCACGCAGGCACTCTCACTCAGGGATGCAGCCCCTACTTACCTCCTGGGTCAGGCCACTCCCTTCTCCCTGGCTCAAAAACTTGGTCACAGCTATTTAACATATCTATGAAACCAGTTAAAGGTTATAGATATGTTAAATAATCATTCCAGAGGTTACTTGCAGAACTGTTGCTATGCAAAACAGCTCTCAATGGCCCTACTCCATTCGTCTCTTCCCCCTGGGGGGTAGGGGAGGAGGACACCTTATGTGTCTCTCCAATATTCCTACACACTTTGAATTCTGGACACCATTCCAAATCTTTTCTTTTGGGGGGCCCCCCCTGGGCTGCACCCTGTATCAGATATAACAAATAGCAATTGGATCTGTGAAAATTTCACTTTAACTAAGGAGAACAGGGATTAATGGAAAAGTAGAAGCTTAGAGAGCACATTTGTAAGGAGATGGGGCTCTCTAGAGGTGACTCTAGGAATTGAAATGAATGTAAGAATTTCATAGTGTTCTAAATCAAAGATGTCTAAGTACATACCTTTGCACATATCTGTAACTGTTTTATCTACCAGCTCATAATAAAAATCTTTATTGCCTCTAGGAAATTTGACCACAGTAATAAATGATTTTATTCAGCCGAATGCAAAAATAAAATTATTGTCATTTATTTTTGGTCTAAGAATTATCATTTTTATGTTGATAATTAAATTTTTCAGCTGGAACAAATAATCGTATCATGTTTTTAATGTGCACTGGAGTCCATGTAATTGTTTTAAATGAGTAACATATACATAATTAATTTGGTTTTGAATTGTAGTGGTTTTTCTTAACATTTTGATAAGCTTAGGGGAAAATTATTTTCTTCTTCTTGCTCCTAAAATTTAATTGAAAATGCTTCAGTAATCCAAGTGCCTGAGGATGAAATGAACCCAAATCCTTTTTCTACTTAAATATAATTTGATAACCACTACACTATGAAAACTCCTTAAATATAATTTGTGTACTGGCAAATTTTCCCCTTCAATTTTATCCACCTCTAAGACTCATTACATCAGAGCCTCGTGAACTTTTAGATTGGAACAGCTGGAACATAGCCTGACGGATGGTCTTCATCTTCAAGCTATAAATTATAGGGTTCAGTACTGGTGGTAAGAGCAAATAAACATTGGCCAAAATGCTACAGACCACCACAGAGGTAGAGTTGAGGAGGTGGTGTGTAATGGACAGGCTGATCATTGGCACATAGAAAATGGTGACAGCACAGAGGTGACAGACACAAGTGCCTAGAGCTTTTTGTTGCTTCTTAGGGGCCACAATACTCAGGACAGTACGGAGAATTAGGGCATAGGAGAAAAGAATGAACAAGAAGTCAGTGCCATTCAGGTAGAGCTGAAGAAACATGCCCAAAAAGCTGCTGATCCAGGGGTTGGAATATGCATATTTGATTGTATCTGGGTAGTAGCAAAAAGGGTGGGAAAGCTCCTGGCCTCCATGGAAAGAAACATTGTTCAAGGCTAGAGTCATGAAAAATACAAAAATTAGTTGACGTAGGCAGATAATCAGTCCAATCACCATGATCATCATGTCTGTGAGGACAGTGGCATACTTCAGTGGGTTACAGATGGCCATGAAGCGGTCAAAGGCCATGGCTACCAGCACTGAGGATTCCAGCAAGGAGAAGGCATGTACAAAGGTCATCTGAAGGAAGCAAGCCTTAAAGCTTATCTCCCGAGCATGAAACCAGAGGACCCCAAGCACGGTGGGGAGGGTTGAGATGGTCAAACACAGATCAACAGCTGACAGCATGGAGAGAAAATAGTACATGGGCTTGTGGAGATTCTGTTCAGCAATGATGACAAGCAGTATCATGCTGTTTCCCAAGAGGGCAATGGTGTAGAGGCAGCAGACAGGGATGGAGATCCAGATACGAGCCTGTTCCAGCCCAGGGAATGCAGTGAGGAGGAAATTTGAGGAGGAGGATGTGGTGTTATTGAAAATCACCATGGTGGGTTGAGGACACACACTGAAAAGAGAGACAAAAACGAGCCTTTCATATTGATCCCTTTTTAAAGCCTGACTCTTTTATAGACTTTTTCAAATTACGCAGTTATTTCTCTATATTCCAAACCCCAAATCTAATTACAGTTCTTATCACATAATTCCATAGTTTCTTGAATTTTTCTTGTCAGAACCCGGCCTCATTTTTCTTCCCGTGGCCCTTCCCAATTATAACAATTAATCTCTCTAAGCTCATCCTCACTCTACAGCCCAGACAAGCCTTGACCTGAATTAAAAAATGCTTGTAGACTTACATTACATAAATGCACACACACCAACAAAACAGCAATAATTACAACCAGTGAGTCTTTGTCTCCAAACTATATGTTGCTCCAGAAATAATGGAAAAGCACACAAGAGCCACTAGGCACCTATAGTAGCAAAGTCTATGATGTCCTTGCTAGAAGCTGGTCTGGGATATTGTAGTCGGAAGTATCCTTGTACCTGAATCATCTGTCACCCTCTCCTGGTAGACTCAACTAGAAGTATCTTTTTGTATCAGGGATTCTTTATTCCTTTTCCTCTAATTTCTCTCTTCCCCACTCCATATGAGACAATGTCACCTTGTGCTCTAATTCTGTTTTTCTCTGTACTTGTCCAGGTCTACTGAAACAATGGGTCTTTTTGTCTTTTATTCCATCTTATACCTTGGGGTACTTATTTCTACCCCTTCCCACAGATATTATTGTACCATGTTACTCTGAGCCAACCCAAGGTGAGTTGACTGCCCTATGAATCCTGTGAAAATTTTCAAATAGTACTCTGAAATACATGGCTCAGGACACCCTAATCTAGGTACAGGAGGTAAGCCCAGATAAAACACCATATGAAAAGTGTGGGAGCACTCAACATGTGATGAATGACTTTGTAAAAAGCATAAACGGGATAGAAGTGGAAATTAATAACTAAGGAAAATAGATGGGGATAGATAGGCATTACACATACCAGGTGACACTACAGATTGGAATGTCGAGTAGTGCACTGGGTGAAAAAACCCACAGGATGATGGCTGCAAAGCAGTACAGATGGTGTCTAGAGAGGAGGCAAAATGTGTAATCTAGATTCAAGGTTACCATTGCAATGCTATTCATGATTTGTTCATTGAATGTTGGTATCATCACTGCTGATTTTCAAATTTTTACTTAAGACATTTAGTTATCAACAGAGAGCTAACAAGGAATGATATACCTGGCCCGGTTGTTGTGTGGATATGGCCAACCAAAGTATTCTTATTTTTCAGTAGTCTAGGCTTTCTGTCTTTGTGTCTGAATAGATACAAGGAATTTGCCTGTACCAGACCCTGCCAGTTTTTATATAAGAACAAATATGAGGAATTGTTAGTAATTTTTCTCTTCCTCCTTCAGTCTACTGATGATGGTGATGGAAATAATCACTTGTTATCCACAGAGGGAAAAGAGACTAATTGCTTTTTTCTGCTGTGATATTTAGTATTATTACAGTATAACACGGTTGAGAAATAAGACTAAGGATCAGGAAAACTGGTGCCAAATGAGATATGGATTAGACATGCTGAATTAAATCAACCACTCAGACTGTAAATGACTAGTTTAATGGCAGTTACTGTGTGGGTGGCTAAGGAGATGGAAATGAGTAAATAACAGTTTCTGTATTCTAACCTCTCTCAACCTATTGAAACGAATAATGTGAGAAGCCAAAGCAAAATGTTAATGCAAAGCAATTACTCTATGGGAAAATGCGGGAAGACTAGCCAGACAAGAAATTGGAAAGCTGTTAATATTTCTGTTTCATTCTTCTTCTTTTTCTCAGCCTGATAAATACAGATATTAAGAGTAAATCTATTTCTCTGTGACTCTGTGATAACAATTCAGGAATCTCTCTGCAATGCAAAATTACTCAGTCTATTCACTCTCTTCCAATGGTATTTTATATATAATTTTTATACCATTAAAATCCTATTTTTTTGGTCACATTTCTTTCTGCCTTTAATATACTGGCTTTTGGGAGCACACCATGTATGTGTTCATTTTTATATTTTGTCCAGAAAAAAAACAGAGCCATTGGTACATGATGCAAACTCTAATAATCTAATTTATATTAAATGTTTTGAGGGATGGATAAATGATAGATGATACAGGGTTGGATAAAGACTAGAAGAGAGAAATATAGATTGGTCATGGAAGTTTTGAGGGAAGCACAAACCCATAGAACAGAAGGAGAGTAATTGTTTTCTCGTTGATTGGAAGAAGAAGGGGGTAGGTTAAGAGAAAAGGAAAAGAATTAAGATCCTTTGTATATGTCAACATTTGCTAACCATCTTACATATAATTTTATATAATACCAGGAAAAATGATATAGATGTTTTTCTCTTATTAACAAAAATGACCCCTCAAGGTAAACTGTATTTCAAAAGTAAAAGAGTTAGATACAGATTCAAATCAAAAACCAGATTCATGAACTACAAAGTGTCTTATTTTTTATTTAACCATAGACCATTAGAAAAGCCAGGCTTATGAGAAAATTTGAATAGCTGGACAGTATAATTTTTTTCTTTTTAAAATATAAGAATTGCATATATATATATATATGATTCAAAAGAGGAATAAAAAATAAGTAAAAGGAAGAAAAGTGTCCTCATAGTTTTAAAAAGAAGGTGTGTGGGTTCAGTCCATGTGTGTTTAAAAGAATATGTAAATGTTCTCATGCCTGTATTGTATGTGTGTCTCTATGAGCTGGTATATGTAGAAAGAAATTTTGGAACGAAAAAGTAATTAAGAAATTGCTCTTCTTAAAAAACAAACAATCATTATCTTCCATTCTTTGACTTATATGTCATAAAGGACAACAATATGATACTGGATGAAGTGAGGGTTAGAAGGAGAAGAGATTAGCTCATTTTGTTGGTGGAGAACTTGTTTCCTGAAGAATGCAGAACTATGAACAGGAGAAGGATCAAAGGGCCTTTTCTTCAGACCCAGTGAGCTCATACACTTTGTAACCAGTTGTAGGACAAACTTAGCTCCTCCGTTCTTCAACGTTTTCTTTGCATTGCCCACAAACCAGAAGAATAGGTTAGAGCTTTCTATCTTTAGTTCTTTCTTTGATTGGCCAGGCAGAAGGTAACACCTTCCAATTCATGAAGGCTAGATTAAATGAGGACATTACCCACACAACTCAATAACTCAGCAATTCAAAAGTCAATGTCCCTGCTTTGTGGCATCAATGATGGTATAAATCCATACTCTTCATTTATAAATCCCCATCTTCTGTTTATTTCTCAACACTGAAATCTATTTTTTAAACCTCCCCCAAGGGTATGTTTATTATTGATTTTAGAAAAAGAAGAAGGGGGGAAGAGAGAGAGCAACAGAGACAGAGACATCAGTGTGAGACAGAAACAACAATTGGTTGCCTCTGGGACATGCCCTGACTGGGGATGAAAACTGCAAACTAGGTATGTGCCCTAACCAGGAATCAAACCCACAGCCTTTTGGTGTATGGAATGGTGCTCCAGTCAACTGAACCACCTGGCCAGGGTGACATTGAAATCTATTCTTTTCCATAATCTAGCACGTGTCCTGACATCACCAGGCCATGTTAACCTGATATTTGGTAATACATAATATAATAGAACCCCCTGCCTCTAAATCTCTGCACCATTTAATGCTTATATCTTTCATTTGACTCTTAGTCATGGTTGATAGTAGTAATTTTTATATGCAAATGTCATCTCTTTCATCTGCCTGACATGTGAGTTTTTTAAAAGTTTGGATATGCCTGTTTATCTTCTCTCAATGTGAGCTACTAAACTAGGATCTGGAATAATAGAGACTTTCAGTTAATAATGTTGAATGACTATTGAATAATCTTGACAACAGACAGTTCTGAGTCCTATTTCTTTTGCTCTTCTTTCTTTCCCTCATGTCTTCCATAATCCTATTTCAATTTCTTCCAGGCTCCATCAGACCCCTCCATTTCTCCATCCCACCTTACTTATACCTTTCTTCATTTAATCACTTATCACTGTTCCCTCCTTCATTCTTTAATCTCTCCCCTCCCATCCCTTTGCATTTCTGTATTCTTCTTACCTGCTTATATCAGGGAAACACCACCAACTTTATTCCCATCACAGAACAGGAACTAATCCAGCTCCCAAGGGTGTGAGCTTTATAGGCAGCTTAATAGAGTCACGAGGCAACAGAGAGCTATTTTCATTAATGAGTGAGTGTATTGGTTGGAGCAAGAGTTACAGAACCCATATGAATGTGTTCTTCTACAACAGCTCAGATACATCTCCCTGACATATGTTCAAATTCTGCTTGGGGGCTCAAGCAAGCCCCATACATCAGAGGCTATAAGTAGAGTTCTGGCCCTGGAGGCTGACAGTAATGGGTGCCTTCAAAAGCTACCTGCCTGGATCAGACAACTACAACATCCTTCTTTACCCTGCCTTAGGCTACAGATTCTCAGCCAAGGCAGCTCCCTGAATTTCAGACAGGGATCTGGAGAATGCAAAAAGAGTCATCCCTCTGGTGTTTGTTTGTTGGTTGGTTGGTTGGTTGGTTGGTTGGTTGGTTGGTTGGTTGGTTTTTTCTAGAATATATATTCTTCCTAGCAAGTCTCATTGTTCCCCTGGCTATTCCTTTCACTCAGGTACCTCTCCTAAGAAGCCATCTTATTATCTGAGTCACATCTGCAGCCCACCTCCCCTTCTAAACATCTGATAAACTCATAATACATAACGAAATTTGCACTTTACCCTTTAATACATTGTTGTATTTATTAATCATCAAACTTATGAGTTAAGTATTATTCTCTAGTATTTTACAATATAAGGCAGAAAACTGTACTTGAACAACAATTAAAATTTAAAAAAAGAAATTGAAACTCAGATAGATTTTAAATAAATTTACTTAACTAAAACTTACCAAATTAGCTTATATTTAAGCCCATGTCCATTTTACTCTAAAGCTCTTTTT